AGTGTGGATAGATAAGATAAGAAAGTAGAAAATGATCCAGTATGTTCCAAAAGTCAATACAACCAATCAATCAAATTTATTTATATAGCACAGAATCATAACAAACAGTTGTCTCAGGGTGCTGCACAAAAGTCCAAGATCTTAAGAAACACAAAATCCAACTTGTTCCACACCGTGCAAGCCTGAGCGGGAAGGAAAAACTCCCAGGTGGAAGAAACCTCTGGCAGAACCAGGCTCGGTGTGGACTTCCTCTGCCAGGACCGGTTGGGATGATGGAGCAATAACAAGTAATATAGGGGAACAAAAGGAAATGAGGGGGGGGGTTGAGTCACAGTGTCAGGTCAGGGGCTTGAATCCAGCCCGGGAATCTCCACATGGACGTTTGCATGGTCTTCCAAGGGTGTGGTGGTCCCCCCAGGCACTCCTGCCTCCCTCATGGTTCAACATGCGCAGTAGTAGGACCCATGGCTCCAGAGGTGGGAGGTCCTCAGGTGATAGTGCTGGTGGTTGCATGACCCTCCATGTCAGCCCTGCGAAAGACCGGCGACCTCACTAGGTCCATCCCTCATCAGGACCCGAGCMAGGACGGGCTCCGGAGAGCCGCACAGTATGGACCAAGGAGGGGAGGAGAAGACCCAAGGAGTTAGAGATATGTAATAAGATATAACAAAATAAACCAGGCAGAGAGTGAAGAAGAGAGAGGAAGATAGAAGGTGCTGGTTTCTGGTGCCTGATGGGTGATCCCCCAGCTGTGTAGGCCTATAGCAGCATAGCTAATGATGACTATGGCTCATGGTTGAGATAAAAGCTTTATCAAAAAGGAAGGTTTTAAATCTAGCCTTAAATGTAGAGACCGTGTCTGCCTCCCTCACTGAGAGTGGGAGCTGGTTCCAAAGGAGAGGAGCTTAATGACTAAAAGTTCTACCACCCATTCTATTCTTACTCTAAGCACTACAAGGAGTCCAGAGTTTAGGGAGCGATGTGGTCTGTGGGGGCAGTAAGGGGTTATGAGGTCTTTAATATATGATGGGGCCTGATTGTTGAGAGCCTTATAAGTCAGTAGGAGGATTTTGAACTCTATACTCTCTTTAACAGGGAGCCAGTGAAGTGAAGCTAAGACAGGAGTAATGTGATCCAGTCTTCTGGTTCCTGTCAGTACTCGTGCAGCAGCGTTCTGCACTAGCTGAAGGGTTCTTAATGATCTGCTGGGACATCGTGATAATAGGGAGTTGCAGTAGTCTAGCCTAGACGTAATAAAGGCATGAATCAGTTTTTCAGAATCCTGTTTTGACAGGATGTGTCTGATATTAAAAGTCATTCATGGTTGCTGCTTTCTGAATTTATACTTTTTGAATTGATTAATAACAAAGATAATGTCACCTGTACAATTGGAACATTTACTTGGAACAAAGTCCAAACATTGTGTGAGACATATCAATGAAGTTGGGGACTGTTGGGTTCCTCTATATTAAATACGATTTTAAAGTCTTGACCTTCAATGTCTTGAGATAATATTTATTATGATTTGGCGCTATACAAATAAAATTTAATTGAATTGAAGTTGTAAAGGCAAATTCAAGCTGCAAAATTGTGAACTT